CCTCCGGGGCGGGGCGGGGCGGGGGCGCGTCCTCCCTCCTAACCTTGACCGCGAGGCCCTGAGCTTCGGAAGCCCCTGGCGTGGGAAGGACGTGATTCCCTTCAACCCTGAGAGCGCTGGACACGTGAAGGTGGATCCCATGTGCTTGGAGGGGGCTGTCTTCCACCCACATCCCTCACTCGCTCTGTCCGGCTCCCGGGCTCCAAAGCGGGGACGGACTAGGGGCTAGTTGTTGCACCCCACGTGCTGCCCCACCCACCGGAGACGGGTCTGCTTTGACGTGACCCGGTAGCCACACCAATATCTCGCTTGGAATTTTGCCTCACCTGGAATTAGCCGCCTCTCCTTTGTCACCGCCTCCCCTACCACCACCGGGAGTTAAAACGTTTGACAACAGGGTGTCTCTGGCCTGGGTGATGGGCGGGAGGGGGTGGAGAGGGTGGGGTGCAGCAGGGGATTACAGAATGAAAGCTTCCAGTTGGAGGAACGAAGACTCATTTTCTCTTTTTGTCTCTCCTGTCTCTGTGTGTCTCTGTACCTGTGTGTACCCCTTCCTCAGACTCCCGAAGCCCAGACAGCTCCTCCCCAAATCCCCTTATCCAGGGGGTCCCTCCCCCTTCTCCTCCTGGGCCACCCCTGCCCCCTTCAGCAGCCCCATCTCTTGGAAGCACTGGGGCTCCGCTCCCACCCCCACTGCCACCACCTCCACTGGGCTCCCCCTTCCCGGTCATCAGCTCTTCCATGGGGTCCCCAGGCCTGCCCCCTCCAGCTCCCCCAGGATTCTCCGGGCCTGTCAGCAGCCCCCAGGTGAGAGGTCATGACTTGCTGCTGCCTCTTCACTTTCATTTCCTTGTGACCCCCAGATCATTGTGTGAACTTGCCTATGGCCCACTGATCTAGCCCTGCCCTCCGGGTAGGCCTGTGGTTCTTGAGAGACCCCTTCCTTGGCTTCCGAGGTGACTGATCTTTCAGTGCACGTGTCCTCCCCAGCCCTCTAACAGGACCCTGGCAATCCTGCAGTTCCTGTCTTCTGTCAGTCATTTTCTGCCCTTTCAGCCCCCTCTGTCTTTCCAGGATGGTCTCATCTGCTTTCCAAGATCCGTGCCCCTCAGAGCCACTGTGTTGCACAATTCCAGGGGACACTGTTCAGGCCCATTCTTTTGGATGGTGCCGTAGACTGCAGCGCGGAGTGACCCCGGGAATGTGCAATGCAGCCCCTGCTCCGGTGGGAGGGCGTGAGTCCCGTGACCTATGAGCGTCTCCTTCCCAATGAGTCTCCCTGTGACTTCCCTATTTCCCTCATCCCAGATTAACTCAACAGTATCGCTTCCTGGGGGTGGGTCTGGCCCCCAAGAAGATGTGAAGCCACCAGTCTTAGGTGTCCGGGGCCTGCACTGTCCACCCCCTCCAGGTGGCCCTGGGGCTGGCAAACGCCTGTGTGCAATCTGCGGGGACAGAAGCTCAGGTACGGGACCCAGAGGACCTCAGAGGAGGAAAGAGAATTCAGGCCAGGTCCCGCGGCTGTGGGAATTCGGGGTGCTAGGATCAGGCTGGAGTAAGTGAGCTGGGGGAGGCCTGGTAAGAGTGGAGGACCTGAAACTAAGCTGCAGGGCGGGGCACGAGAGGGAAGAAGGGGCTGAGACAGCATCTGTGTACAAAAGGGGAACATCCCTCTCCCCGGTGCCCTGGCTGCTTGGCACTTATCGGGAGGACTTAAAATAAGCTTTGCCTGGGGAGGTTGGCCAGATTTGATAGTGAGAAGCGTGTTGGTAAGTGCCCGTCGTCTGACGGGGTGTGCGCTCCCTCCCTCCCTCTGCTGCAGGCAAACACTATGGGGTGTACAGCTGTGAGGGCTGCAAGGGCTTCTTTAAGCGCACCATCCGCAAGGACCTCACCTACTCTTGCCGGGACAACAAGGACTGCACGGTGGACAAGCGCCAGCGGAACCGCTGCCAGTACTGCCGCTATCAGAAGTGCCTGGCCACAGGCATGAAGAGGGAAGGTCAGTAAGGGGCCAGCCCTGTGGACACTATACAGCCCACCCTGGGAGAGGAGGGAGGAGGAAGAGGAAGATCAGAGAACATCAGTCCCGCAGAGGCTGGCCTGGACGGCTCGCTCTCCTCCAGAGGGCGATAGTTTATTGCTCACTGTCCTCATGGACTCTTCTCTCCCCCCCCCCCTAGTCTACTCCCTCTAGTTCGCCTCTTGGGGACCTGGCCTCTCTGGCCAGTTCCTGTGTGCCCTCCCCTAGTTGGCTCCCAGGGCTTGTCTCTTCCCACGATGAGCCTCCCTAGCTCCCTTCCTCTGACCTGAACAGTCTCTTTTCTCTTTGACTCGATGCTTTCTTTTTGGTCTCCTCTGATCTCGGGGTCTCTACTCTTTGATGCTACAGACATTGCTGCTTTCCCTCCATCTTTACCTGCTTAAGTCTGGCTTACGGAATTCTGAGCGAGAGAGAGAGACTGGTGGGGTGGTGTTTACGCATTGGGCTGTTAACTGCAAGGTCAGCAGTTCGAAACCACCAGCCACTCCAAGGGAGGAAGGCGAGGCTTTCTACTCCTGTAAAGAGTTGTAGTCTCAGAAGCTCAACAGAGGGGGTTCTACTCTGCCCTATAGGGTCACCATGAGTCAGAGAAGAGATACTTTAGAACACTGTTTCCCAGAGTGGGCCATACTGCCCCCTGGGGGCACCTGGAGTGATGGGGGGTGGGGTGGCCTGCAAAGGCAGATTGCTAAGGCTTTAAATGCCAAGGGAAAGGGCACGGAGTAATTTTGTTTTCTGAAAATGGGGTGGTAGGCCAAATAAGTTTGGGAACCTCTGCTTTAGTGATTGTCTCCGTCAAATCTCAGCTTGGAGAAGGTGAGCACAAGGCTGGTGGGTAAGGCGGCTTTCCCGGGGCCATGTGACAGAAGAGGGGTGGAGTGGGGGTCACAGCCCGCATCTCTGAAGGCCAGCCGGCAGTGCGTGCACGGCAGCCACGCACATGTGCGTGAACTTGGGCTAGTAATCCACACCCCAACTCCATCTTGAAAGATGGGAACAGTAGTTCACAGCGTGGATGTGGTGGTTGTGTGACTGTCATAAATGTGCTTGGCACATATCTTAGCATGTAATAAGACATTTAAACACTTAGTTCACTTGTCCCCCTCGTGTCCCTCCCCTCCCCTCTTTGACTCATGTGTCTACCCTAGCTTCAAGACTGTCCCCAGGTTACCATGTCTAGTGACTGCCCTAGTTCCTAGAAGTAGTCCTTCAGGGCTCTAAGATGCTGGTCAGGTTCTCAAGGGCATGCTGAACCCCGGGTGACTGGCTGCTGACCGTCCACTTTCTTTCCCTCTCCCCTCCCCCCCTCCCCCCAGCGGTACAGGAGGAACGTCAGCGGGGAAAGGACAAAGACGGGGATGGGGAGGGGGCTGGGGGAGCCCCCGAGGAGATGCCTGTGGACAGGATCCTGGAGGCAGAGCTTGCTGTGGAGCAGAAGAGTGACCAGGGCATGGAGGGTCCTGGGGGAACCGGGGGTAGCGGCAGCAGCGTGAGTGATGGGGTCAATTCACTCTCCTTGGTGGGGTGGGGGAGGGGAGGGGGTCCCCAGCTTCCTCCTAACACTACCTGGGACTGGAAGTGCTGTCAGACCAGGCGTCTCAGACACCCGAGGTGGGCTTAGGAGCGCCCTCCTTCCCCAGACTCCGCACCGGTAGACCCACAGGCAAGTCCCAAATAAATCCTTGCTGGAGGAGAACACCCAGTGATGGGGATTGGCTCAGAAGGGACCTGAAGAAAGACTGCAGTATAAGGAGGGGGTGTTAAAATGCTCTTACAAGGGGGGTTCCCAGTTTACCTCTAGGCCTTCCATAACTCTCACCCTCCTGCCTCCCACAGCCTAATGACCCTGTGACTAACATCTGCCAGGCAGCTGACAAACAGCTGTTCACGCTGGTCGAGTGGGCGAAGAGGATCCCACACTTCTCCTCATTGCCTTTGGATGACCAGGTCATTTTGCTCCGGGCAGGTCAGTGACCTTGGAGCCCTATGTCGCCTTGACGTTTGGCCCCTCCTTGGCCTCCTGACCGCCAGTGAGCCCAGGGACCTGACCTTGCATACTCAGGGAGCCCAGGTCACTGACCTGGCCACTTCTCCTCTTACTCTTTCCCACTCTGTCCCCCCACTGCCGCCCTGCTCCCAGGGTGGAACGAGCTGCTCATCGCCTCCTTCTCCCACCGCTCCATCGATGTCCGAGACGGCATCCTGCTCGCCACGGGCCTCCACGTGCACCGCAACTCTGCCCACTCTGCAGGCGTGGGAGCCATCTTTGATCGGTCAGTGGCCCTCGGCCGGACTGGCCTGGCCAGTAGGTAGAGGGATTGGGGCTATAGGCTGGTCCGTGTCCAAGGCTGGCTGAGCTGTGACCTTTGAGTGACCTGCAGGTCCCTCTCCAGGGTGCTGACAGAGCTAGTGTCCAAAATGCGTGACATGAGGATGGACAAGACAGAGCTTGGCTGCCTGAGGGCAATCATTCTCTTCAATCCAGGTAAGAGCAGGATCACCCCTGTCTTCCAAGACCAGAGCAACCCTGGGGCCTCCTCTTCTGCAAGGACTCCCCTAAGCTATCCCCCTCAGTAAGACCCTCAGCCCGAAAATCTCTTAAGTCCGCATCCGGTCCCTTTCCAACTCCATCCCACAAACCGAGTGGGCCCCCGTCTCGCAGCTAAGCGACTTGAAGCTCTGCCAGCTGGTGGAGGGCAAGTAGGGGCCCGAGGGGGAAGGTCTGTGTGCCCCACCTGCATGCCTGCCCTGAAGAGATTCCCCTTCCCCCTTCTTTGTTCTCTCTTCCCGGCCATCCCAGACGCCAAGGGCCTCTCCAACCCCAGTGAGGTGGAGGTCCTCCGGGAGAAGGTGTATGCCTCCCTGGAGACCTACTGTAAACAGAAGTACCCTGAGCAGCAGGGACGGTGAGACGGGCTGTGGGCACTGGGGCTTTCCCGGGCCTGGGCAGCGCCGTGAGAGAGGACCCAGCGCTCACCTCCCTTTCCAATGCCCGCCTCAGGTTTGCCAAGCTGCTGCTGCGCCTCCCTGCCCTCCGGTCCATTGGCCTCAAGTGTCTGGAGCACCTGTTTTTCTTCAAGCTCATTGGCGACACTCCCATTGACACCTTCCTTATGGAGATGCTCGAAGCTCCCCACCAGCTGGCCTGAGCCTGGACCCCGACTGGTGCTCCTCACCCTCCGGGGTGCGCATCCAGCAGAGACTCCCAGCCTGGGGCAGGGAGGGAGGGAGAGAAGGGGCCATGTTCCCCGGCTCTCTGGGGACGAGTGATGTAGGGCCAAAGCAGAGACCTTTTAGGGGGTCCGTTACCTCTAACCCCAAGGCGTTTGCTTCAGATCCCAAGTCCCCGGGGCTCCAGAGTGCTGCCAGGGCTGGGGGCTTCCCCAGAGTGGCCTGGTGTCCTTGGTTCCCTGTAGTCTCCCATCCCCTGCCAGGACTGGTCTCCTCCCCCCGCAAAAAGCCCTGGCCCTGCTCCCATTCACGTGATCCTGCCCCATGTCTTCCCTCCCCTAGAGATGGATCATGGGGGGCAGGCCCCCCAAACTGATGGACATGGGAGCAGGGTTCTGACAGGCCTTCCTCTTCCCCAAGCCCAGCAGCTGGGCCACTCTGGGAGAGGAGGGGTCCTGTCGCTGGCTCCTTTCTAGGGGCCCCTGGTGCACTCACCTTCTGCTTCAGCCAGACTGAGGAGCAAGTGGGGGAGGAGGCAACCTGCGATTTTTAATTTCCTCCGAGGACAGAGACTTGCAGTTAGTCTCAGAGAAGTACTGTACTTCCCCAGGTTGACTAAGACATGCCGGTGGTGGATGCGGCTGTTTGGGAAAGGCAGGGCCCTAAGTTGGTCAGCCCCTGGGGATCTCCAACCACTGGCTTGTGCCCACCTTGGCCCCTCGGCCCCCATCTCCTCCTGTCTAACTGGGGCCCTGCCTTGATGGCCTTGGGTGGACGACGAAGGCCAAGTACCGTCCCATGAGTGTAGTCCTCAGGGCCTTCCCGCCCGCCGCCCCGTAGGATGGGAATGCGCACGGGGGCGCGCAGGAGTCTGGCCCAGGAACCGAGGGGAGGTGGCCGGTCTGCAGATGGCGCGCCGGGGCTGCACGGTTTCTGCCCTGCAGCTCTGCTCTTCCGGTCCCTTACCCTCCTTCACTCACACACATAAACTCGCTTTCAAATTAAAATCGCTGCTTTTCTGGACTGGGTGACTGTTTGGGGGGCAGCGCCGCACAGGGCTTGGGGTGGTGTCCGCTAGGGAACACCGGATGCGCTCCCGGAGGCTGCCGCGCAGGTTCCCTGGGGCCGGAGAAGCAGGCGCAGGGTGGGGAGAC